GGGTTTGAACCCCGGTCTGGCCGGGGATTTTTCCTCTCCCTTTACACCGGTATTAACCAAGTTTATACAATTTGCAATGTGCAAAAAATGATCCGGAGTTTTTTATTCTGAGATATATCAATACCAGTAAAATAAGAAGATCCTTAGTTTTCCATTAATATTAATTATGATTCTGCAGTATAATTGTCAAAAATCAATACTTGCATTATAAGATTGCACACATATACTTGTACATAAAATGCAATTCAAATCTGTACATAAGGTTATTCTTAAAAAGTAATCAAGATTCTCCCCAGTTTAGGCTCGTGACTGGTAACTCGAGAGAAATGACGGTATATAAAATGTTTTCAAATATCGTTTTTTGGTAGACAAAAAGGAAAATATAGATAAGTTCTCCTGTACACGTGAGCAGTGTCGTCTGTCTGACAAAGTCATGTGGCGTGTCGACCTTGGGAGGGGAGTTTGCCTAGTTACATCCTATAATATAATTGATCGAACGTCAAGGTTTGGTGAGAATGTAGAGAATAAAGGTGTGATCTTCAAGGAACTAAAGATGACGACGTGATAAGGTGTAGGGGACCATTGTTTACCTTTCTAGGTGTCGCGGGAGACTAGTCAGGTGCATACTACGATCTGGACTTTGTAAATTACCAAAATCAACAACTTTATATATCCGGGACACAGTAGAACCTACTAATTGGGTCTATCCAGGCTCTCGAAATATCTGGACAAAACCGAAGAAGACGCCGAAAGACTGTTCAAAAATAGTCAGTTTTCCGGCCATCTTGTGTTTGTGTCGGACAGCAAAGGGAGGCAACTACGTGACCAACAAAAGGGACACGGTGTCTCAGAAATTAACTGGAACATCAAATCAGGAAAAGGTACCAGTTACCTTGTAAATTTCATCTTCGAAAATGTAGACCTGCTTGTAAAAACACACGGTGCTATTCTACTCGCGATCTGGTCCGGGACATGCGATTTAACACGCAAGGTAAGTGGCAAATACATTGACTTAAACCATTCCATCTTGCCTGAGGATATCACAAACCAATACAAAAGGCTACAGTCATTACAAGTGCGATATGGAGACAAAATAAGGATTGTCATCCTAGAGTGCCCCCACTACTCAATAAAATCTTGGAACAGATTTAAAGGACACAGTAACTGCGAACTCTTTAATGACAGCGACCAGACACTGCGTTCCAGAGTAGATCAGCTAAACGAGGGAATCCGCAATATCAACCAAACCGTATTAGGAACATGTGCACCGAAATTCTCTGAGGACCTGTGTACTTCGCGGAAAAGTAGAAAAGGCAGGACTACAACCAAGGTATCGTACGTTCTACTGAAAGATGGAGTCCACCCTGGACCCACACTGGCCTTATACTGGATGAGGAGGGTGCTACTAACTCTAGTAAAAAATTACTGTACCTGAACCCAACACTTAGAATACATGTGGGATTAAAACCTCATAAAC